GAAAAAAAAGAAACAGAAAGAAGAAAACGGAGGGCGCTGGCGGTGTGGTGGCTCGACACCCTTCAATCCCAGCACTGTGGAGCCCAAGGCAGGTGGATTACCTCAGGTCAGAAGTTCGAGACTAGCCTTGCCAACATGGGTGAAACCCCATCTCTTTACGAGAGGAGAGGATCTAACAACATTAGGCCAGGCGAGGTGGGTGGCGAGTTTGCAGCTGGTAAGCGCGTGTGAGGAGGCGAGGCACGGAGGATTTACTTTGGAAACCCGAGCAGGAGGCTTTGAGAGCCGAGGAGGTGCGATGCCACTGCGTGCGGTCGTGGGAGGGCAGGAAGGGACACTGTGCTCGCGGAAAGAAACGCAAGAACGAGACGGAAGAAACGGTGGCCCACAGAACCGAAGAAAAAGACGCCAAATAACAACAAAAGAGAGAATGTGAACCATGAAAAATGAGAAGCAACAATATCCTGTGCCTATACAAAAATAAAAATGAGAAAAGATCTACGTGTGGAGCATTTTTTTGAGACAGAGTCTCACTCTGTCGCCCAGGCTGGAGTGCAGTGGCGAGATCTCAGCTCACAGCAACGTCTGCCTCCTGGGTTCAAGCTATTCTTCTACCTCAGCCTCCTGAGTAGCTGGGACTACAGGCATGCTCCACCTCGGCCTTCCAAAGTCCTGGCATTATAGGTGTGAGCCTCTGCATCTGGCCCTTTTTATTTTTTAATAAGTGGAGATGGAGTCTCATTATATTGTCAAGGCTGGTCTCAAACTCCTGAGCTCAAGCAATCCTCCTACCTCGTCCTCCCAAAGCACTGGGATTACAGGCATGAACTACCGCGCCCGGCCCTTTTTTTTTTAAAATAAGTAGAGATGGAGTCTCATTATATTGTCAAGGCTGGTCTCAAACTCCTGAGCTCAAACAGTCCTCCTACCTCGACCTCCCAAAGAGTTGGGATTGCAGGCATGAGCCATCATGCCTGGCCTATTCCACATTTTCTTTAATATTTCATTCATAGTTTTGTTTTTATTCCAATTTTTAATATCCTTACAGTTCTAAATTTATAGTAGCTTCTGCTGACTCTCGTTCACAGTGGATTGTTTCCTTGTGTGTCTATGATTGTGAAATTATATTACATTTTGTTATATTTTATTTTCTCTTAGAGATAGGTCTTGCTATGTTGCCCAGGCTAAAGTGCAGTGGCTATTCACAGGCACAATGATAGTGTCCTGCAGTCTCAAGCTCCTAGGCTCCAGGGATCCTCCTCCTCAGGCCCCCAAGTAGCTGGGACTATGGGTATGTACCACCGTACCCAGTTTAATATTATATTTTATTGATGTTAATCTGTAGGAATTCCAAGTGCCTATATTTGAGATGTTTTACTCCAGAGACAAATTTCATTTGCTTCTGCCAGATGCCAGAGGTTGCAACCAACCTGAGACAGTTTTACCTTCTTTCAGGAGTCCCAAATTAATGCAGGAGTCTCCGTTCAGCTTCCTCACCTTGCAGTGGGTTTACAAATTAGTATGCGATCCTCCCCCCTCAGCCTTCCAAGGAGCTAGGACTGCAGCCGCGCACCACCAGTACTGTCGGAAGCAGGTTCTCAGTACATGCTATTAGGTGAGTAAATCCATAAAATAATTAATGAAAGCAGTAGCTCTCATATAAGGAAGAACTGAGGGGGCCTTGGGAATGCAAAGAAGTGGGTGAATGCTCTCACTGGGCTGAATGAAACCATGAAGGCAGACTTCATGAAAGAGGCAGAAGTGGCCAGGCACGATGGCTCACACCTGTAATCCCAGCACTGTGGCAGGCCAAGGTGGGTGGATCACCTGAGGTCAGGAGTTCGAGACCAGCATGGTCAACATGGTGGAACCCCGTCTGTACTAAAAATATAAAAATTAGCCAGGTGTGGTGGCGGGCACCTGTTATCCCAGCTACTCAGGAGGCTGAGGCAGGATAATCACTTGACTCTGGGAGGCAGAGGTTGTAGTGAGCTGAGATCATGCTGTTGCACTCCAGCCTGGGTGAAAAGAGCAAAACTCTGTCTCAAATAAACAAATAAATAAATAGGTAGTAGTGTTTGAGCTGAGGCCTGAAGGACAGGTCAGATGTTGCTAAGCCTTCTAGGCTGAAGGGATGCAACAAGCAAAGTCCCAGTTCTTGGTAGGAAAAACCCAATTGCTCCACGAGCTTCTTCAGGGAAGAGCTTGTGAAATCTGACTTTCCTCTGAACACCCAGTGTACTCTGGGAAGTACTAGAGGTCCTCTGATAATTGAACGAATGTGAGGCTAGGGCACATGAGGAGAGATGAAGGCAGATGTAGCCAGAGAGGCAGGAGCCGGGGCAGGCATGGATTCATCCCTCTAGCAAACTTTCACTGAGCCTCTACTCCATGCCAGGTGCCGGAGACCCAGGTGGACCAGCAGACACAACTTCCCTCAGGGGAGCTTCATTCTAGAGGGCCTGCAGAACATGGTAAGGAGCTTGGGCCTTACCCGAGGGCTCTGGGGAGTGGTGTTACACAGGGGAATGACAGAATCAGCATGCTGTGGAGACCGGGAGAGGGCGAGGGAGAAGCAGGGGGTAGAGCGAAGGGGCGCTGACTGCTGGATTAGGAGAGAGAGAGAGAGACTGGCCTGCCGAGGCCCTGCTTATGGAGTGATAAAAAGGAAAAAAAAAAAAAAAGTGTTTTAATACTCTCACATATCATTCTGACAACAGATGTGTGGGTTTTTTTCCCCCGTGCCAAGCAATTCTCCAATTCTCTGCAGACATCAACTGGATGTCCTATAATTTAATTCGGTTCTGGCACTCAGTACCTAGTTAGTGCAGACCCCTATCTAGTTAAGGGCTCATTCTCACAGATGCCCCTGACTTCAGATGCCAACTGTTCCTCCAAGCCTCCTGTCCTTCTCACTGACCAGTTAGAACTCAGGGGTCCCCACGACCCCTACCTTGGGTTGAATAATTTGACAGAATGGCTCACAAAACTGAGGGAAACATTTACTTACATTTACCAGTTTGTTTTAAAGGAATATTATAGGGCAGGCACGGTGGCTCACGCCTGTAATCTCAGCACCCTGGGAGGCCGAGGTGGGCAGATGACTTGAGCTCAGGAGTTTGAGATCAGCCTGGGCAACATGGTGAAACCATGTCTCTACAAAAAATACAAAAATTAGCCGGGGAAAAAAGACCAGGTGCAGTGGCTCACACCTGTAATCCCAGCACTTTGGGAGGCCGAAGCAGGAAAATCACTTGAGGTCAGGAGTTTGAGATTAGCCTGGCCAACATGGTGAAACCCCACAACTCTTTAAAAAGTACAAAAATTAGCCAGCCTCGGCTGGCACATGCCTGTAATCCAGCTAACTCAGGTGCTTGACGGCAGGGAATCACTTGAACT